TAGGCCACGATTCTTTAACTGCGTACAAAAGGACAGTTATCCCACAATCTGGTCCCAAGAGTTCCACACTCAAAATGAGACTATTATGGCCTTTTCTTAAATCACAGGAAGAAACACTTACGAGCTTGATTTTCTCAGTTTTAAGTTCCTCCCAGAAATCTATCTCAAATCTTTGAAAAATGGTACATGACAAAAATCAGGCCCTGGCCAGGGAACTCAGTTCGTTAGCTCATCGTCCTGACAGCCAAGGTTGCGAGTTTAATCCCCGGTCAGGGCCCATGTAAGCATCAACCAATGAGTCCATCGCCGAACAGAACAACAAATCAATGTTTCTCCTTCTCTCTCTCTCTCCTTTCCTCTCTCTCCCAAATCAATTTTTTTTAATATTTTATTTATTTATTTTTAGAGAGGGAAGGGAGGGAGATAGAGAGAGAGAGAGAGAAACATCAATGTGCGGTTGCTGGGGGTTATGGCCTGCAACCCAGGAATGTACCCTGGCTGGGAATCGAACCTGGGACACTTTGGTTCCCAGCCCGCGCTCAATCCACTGAGCTACGCCAGCCAGGGCTCCAAATCAATTTTTAAAAATAATTTTAAGTCAGTGAGTAAGTAACAGACTAAGTTTGGGAAAATTCAGTTGCTTATGCTTAGCTCACCTTTTTTTTAATAGATTATGTGCTCAACAATTGTCATTTTATTACCTTAAGTTCAAATAAATTAATTGAATATATTAATTCAATGACAGTTAACTCAATTATCTGGAAGTAGTTTTAATATTAAGGTGTTCTTCAAATGAATAATAATGCTTCTGTGAGAGCTAACATAAGCACTAAAATAAGCAGATACACCTATTAGTAGAAACTAAAGAACCAAAAAGGCAAATATAAAAAAAAAAAAAAAACACACATAAAAACAAAAAAAATTGTATGACAGTGCTACTTGGGAACACTCACCCCTACTGAACTGTCCAAGGTCTCACTGTTCAAAAGAAACATACAAACACACATGTAAGCCACATGTACTTGTAAATTTTTTTAAAGTAAAAAACAGGCTAAATTAGCCGTGACTGGTGTGGCTTAGTGGATTGAGTGTCAGACTGTGAAGCAAGGGGTCGCTAGTTCCATTCCTGGTCAGGGTGCATGCCTGGGTTGCAGGCATGGTGCCCAGTGGAGGGTATACGACAGAAAACCACACAATGATGTTTCTCTCCCTCTTTTTCCTCTCCCTTCCCCTCTAAAAATACATAAATAAAATCTTTAAAAAACGGCTAAATGCATTATATTTTATTTAATACATGCAACATATTATTTCAACATGTAACCAATATTTTAGAAATAAAAGTATTTGGGGGTTTCTCATGCTAAATCTCAAACTGGGCATGTATTTCACATTTACAGTATTAGCCATGTTTCAAAGTGCTCCACAGACCACACTGGACAGCTCAGATCTACAGAATAGCTTACTCTAAAGATCACAGCAGGAAAGAAGCTATGGACAGTAACCAGACACTGAAAGTCAAGGGCATGGGTTAAAAAAAAAAAGAGTATTTAGCTCCAATATTCTCATGTTAAAATGAGGGTTCAACTAAGAAATGAGTAACAATAATATCACTTTAGTAGTATTGATTTTATAATGATTGTTTTCACCAAGTTTTAACTGCCCTTACTATAGTTATGATTTAGGATTATCCATAACCCCCCATCCTGCCTTTCCATTTTCTCTCCCCCTTCCAATTCTCTAAATTATTTCAATGTTATCGAAAAAAACGTACATCCAGGTGCTTTCCACAATCTGAACAAACTTAAAACACAGGTATGGGTAAGAGAAAGCTGTTGCAGAATTTTACAAAGGGATTGGAAATAATGTTTCAGCACTAACCATGAAGTATCAATGTCACAAAGGAGCTGTAGGAAATAAACTGGAAAGGTACCAGTTCAGAATGTTACACATTAAGTCTGGAACTAGGGTTACCACATTGATAATAAAAGGACAGAGGCCAGATATCCTTCAGTAATGATTCAACTAAATCATGTAAATAGTATAGTGTCAAAAGAGGGAGACAAGGCTTCAACACAGAGTGACCAAAATAATAAAGTCAGAAAAAAACATCCCCTCACCTTCCTGCCCTTACCCCAGTACTCCACCAGAATCTGAGCAGAACCACTGCAAAGATATGATTGTAGTGAACATAAGCTTTTTCTCAACTCATTACTGTTGCTACATCAGACCAAATTCTCATTTGCTATGATAAATTTATTTAAAGTAAACTTATAAAAGTACCTACAATAGATTTAAACAGTCAATAGATTCTGCTTGAGAAAAAACATACAAATTGCTGGACAGGGTGTGTCTACACATTTTCCAAAGGAGGTGGGGTAAGGAAACCATGTATTTTAGTGGTAATAGGTCAAAGTACATCAGCCTTCTATTTTAAAACAAAGTCTGACTAAACAGAACAAACACTGCAGAGACAAGATGTTTAATAGTTTACTATTTTTACCTAATGAAATTACAGTACTTGCACTATAAAATTATTAAAGAAATCAAAATTATAGCTCATATTTCAACTCTTTGAACAATTCTGCTTGTTACTCAGAAACCAATCCCAATGGGTTATGCATTTAAATGGTAAAAGGAATCAAATATTATAATTCTTTTAATTCAAAGCATTTCATGATACCCCCTTCAACTAATGGGGGAAACTACTGAAAGTGGCAAATTATCACTGAAGTCATAAGGTATCTATCTACTTTAAAAAAAGATACAAAAACCACGTACCATAAGGACAAGTTTGTGAAAATGTTTTTATGCACATGTTAAGATTTGAAGCACAGCAAAGTATCAGCAGGGATTATCTTTGGTAATAGTACTTTAGGTAATTTTTTCTCTACTTTCTGTGTTTTCTACAATGATCAGAAAAAAATAAATTTATACAAGTGGAAATTGAAGCAGCCCCAATAGATTTATGATTATGTTGAATTGATATGTGCTCCCTTCTATCACCATAATCTCTAAGCAAAAAGCCTGCAGGGCCCTTCAAAGACATGGACTTTGCCTTATTTATGATACATACTTGATCACATTCACATGCACGAACCGTATACAATGCACACATTAATATGCGGTGGAGCACGCTACACAACATTAAACCAAAAATGGCTTATTTAGAAAAACAGCTGTTTAGCACCCTTGCAAAACAGAGCGGAGCCAAGAGTGGGTGCTCAAGGAATAAATGTATAATAGGAGTCACAAGGTGGAGAAAACGTCTTGGTCCAAATTTTAAAAATGTAAATTTACTCCTAAATTTTACAGCTTAAAATAGTTCAAGGAACGGGTTCCCTGCCCACCGGTCCAAATTTTAAAAATGTAAATTTACTCCTAAATTTTACAGCTTAAAATAGTTCAAGGAACGGGTTCCCTGCCCACCGGTCCAAATTTTAAAAATGTAAATTTACTCCTAAATTTTACAGTTTAAAATAGTTCTTTTTATGAGAATTTCAGCTCAGTTTATGAAAAGAGTAAACCTATAAATTACTTTCCAAGTACACCAGTTTGCATCCAGGCTGCTTTAAACCTGGCTTTGCTCCAACCAATCCTTTGTTTTTGTTTCTCAATTCTACAGCAACATGTGAGTATTGTTAATCGAGGTACATAGAAGCCATGGTGGTGCCGGGGGTGGAGTGGGTAGGAGGGTACTAAAAAGATACAATATACCTTCCTGACTTCGATGAGCTTAAAGCAATAAAGGAACGGGTCAGAAAAAGAGGCCACGAAACAATCCCGAGTGATTTTGTTTTTAGTAAAGGTAAATACTGCGGAGTTTGAAAGAACTTTGGGGGGTGATGAGCCAGCCGGGCAAGATTTGAACGGGCGAATTAGACAGGACTGAGCTGGGTCCTCGATGACAGCACCCCAACCAGCCCTCCTTGTGCTTAAAGGTACACAAACATCGACCGAAAATCGACTGAAACCCAGCAAATCCAAGCCAGGCTGAATACGCACGCACACGAAATGCAACAGCTGTGCGTTCACTTAGGAGACATAATACCTAATACCTGGCTACGACTAACAAATGCTTAATGAAAGCCGAGGATCGGCTGGAAACTATAACATCAAGCGGCTCCCCAAAGGCCTATGACTCCCGCCTTTGCACTCGACATACAGCGCAGGTGGACCTCAGCTCCGCCCAGCCCACCCCGGGCCACTGTTTCCGGAGACTGACCCCAACGGGCCATCTCCAAGCCCCTCCAAGCAGGGCCTCCCGGGTCTCGGTGACGCAAATTTGTAAATAAGGAATAGGACACCAGCAATCAATGGCAGGTGGCAGCACGGCCTCATAAGACAAAGCAGGGGGCCCCTCCCGTGGAGCCCTTCAAGGAAAGGGTTCCCTGCCCACCGGCCCCGAAGACTGGTGTCGCGCCGCCACCCCCGCGTCGTCCCCGCGGCCCTGGCCACGGGAGACACCCCGCAGCACCCCGAGCGCCTGCCCAACCGCCGCCGCAGGAGCGCGCCGGGCGCCCAACTGCCGTCCCGGCCCAACCAATGCGGGCAGGGGAGGAGAGGTGCGCGCGGCCAGCGGAGCGTGCGAGCCACTCCGGGGTCGCAGGGAGGAGGCTGCGCGTGGGGAAGGCAGGAGCGAAGCGGCGCCGAGGCCATCGCGGAACGCAGCGCCAGGAGGGACTCCTCTAGGGGTTTTTGCCCCTTTCCCCTTAGAAGGTGCAGATGTTTGACCCCCCCCCACCCCGAGTGAGGTGCCGCGTCCCAGCCCTGGCTGGACTGTACCATCGGGCGGTGCCGCCGGGATTTCTCCCCCCCACCACCACCACCATCAATCCCCCCCCACCCGGGTCCGCGGTCGGTTGGCCCCGGCCGGGCTCTGAGACGCGGAAAGAGCTTGGCGCCATTTTGGGTGGGACTAAGCAAAGACGAAACACCCTCCCAGTCGATGGGGTACTCTGGACGCCGGCTTATCTGGTTCCCTTAATCCTGTAGGTACTTACACGATGTTGGGTGAGGGGAGCTGGAAGATCAGCGGGTCCCCGATCCTCTCTCCCTAGGGGTGATGGAAATCAATCCCCCCCCGCCACCTCCAGGTGGTTCTTCCCGCCGCAGAGTGGGAGCAGCATAAAAGGCGGGGCGTCATTACCATAATCTGCCTAGCAACCTGAGCTCGGCGTTATGTGATTGGCTGACTCTGTAAACCCCATGCCTAGCCTAGAGACGAGTAATGCTGGGGCGAACTGACAGGCCCAGATTTAAGACTCATGACGAAGATCCCGAGACGCTAATTCAGTCGGCAGAGAAACCAGAAGGAGATTCACACAATGGCCCAATGAGTGAAGGCCTCTTTATTTCGTGCTCTGCTGTTCCTTTAAAACCCAATCAAAGAGCGAGTCTCAGGCAGCGTTAGTCTGCGTTCATACTCTAAGCCAATCAGAAAAGCCGACTCCTAAGGTTCAGAGTCGACGGGTCTCTGAGCGTCCCGCGGGCTCCGGGACTGGTAAACGGCCGGCCTCCTCGTCCCAGGTGGAGAGGTTGGACTGCAGGTTGGGGTTCCAAGCCAGCCCCCCACACCCGAGAGGCTCCGTGTCCCGGTGCTCCGCGCGGAAGGCCAATTCCTGGCCCCGGGCTCTAGGGTCGCAAAGGTTTGCGCGGGAGCCCAGCGCTGCTGGGGCTGGGCTGTCCACGCTTCCTTTCATCTCTGACCCGCCAGCTCTGTTCAGTCTCTGCCAAACCCTGGAGCGCCTCACTGCATTTTTCCCTTTACATTCTAAAAAAGGAAATGATTTTTCGGAAATGTGAAGTATTATTCAACACTGGTCAACCAATAATTTAACTATTAACTTCAGGATTCCATATACTACCGTCCCTTAAAATTGCCTTCTCAAAGGGCCACCGAGTGCATCGAAATAAGCTCAAGCAGTTTTAGCAAGAAAGTCAGCTCTAGTTAACCCCTAATGTGAACAGCAACTAGATCTGGAGAAACCGGGAAACCCTATCTTGAGGAAGCGTGCCCTTCCGTAACATCTACCTGGCTACGTTATTTTGAAGATTAAGTGAGATTTCTGTCTAAAATAGCACACTAGAACTTAAATTACGATAATACATCAGATTACTAAGCTATGGCTAACCAACAAAAAAGAAAATATCTGGGTGGGGGAGGAGATCGTAAAATCCATTCAACAATATCCTCTTTCCTGCTTTTTTTTTTTTTAACTGGAAACAAAGTTGAAAGAATGGGAGAACATGATGTTTTTAAAACTCCAGGACAGTTGACTACTTTGTAACCAACTTTGTAACTACGCCGGGTCTCATTTCTCCACAGACCCCTGCTCAAGCAGCACTGGGCTTGGGATAAAGACTATCAGTAAACACTTGGGGAATTTAATTGCAAAGAAGTGTGAATTGGGGCCTGATGAGCCAGAGCTTAGCATTCATAGTAAGAGATACTATTAGCTCTTAACTGGATCTGAAAGTCAGATGCCTTAGGGAAGACTCTGTCAATTAAGAGTCATTCTAATGTTCCCCTTTAGTGCGGGGCTAGATAATGCCAGAGGTCTGGCAGGTCCACTCTTCTACCCCTTGGCCTCTAGAGAGAGCTTCCCCCATTCCAAGATTTGATATTACATCCTCTCGGATGAACTGGAATGACCCCAGCTGAGGTCTGCGGACCAAAAATGACACCAAGGAACCCAGAAGGGAAACGTGCCATAAGGAAATGAGGCTATATGGACTGGAGGCCCAGCTCACCCTCATGGACTGGGGAAATGGGCTGAAACTTCAGCGTGCACAAATACTACAGATAGGTCCCACCCCAGAGATTTATTTTATTCAGAAATTCTGTTCTAAAACACAGGAGTCTGCGTGTTATATAAAATTTTAAAATAATTTTTAAATTTACACACAGTAGAATTCACCCCTTTCAGTGTACAAGTAATTATTGATTATACACTGTGTCCAGTCGCTGTTCTAAACAATGAGGATAGAATGGGGTCCTTCCTCCAAAAAGTCCCTGCTCTCCTGGACCTTACATTCTAGTGGACACAACAGAAGAAAATAAATAAGATAATTCCAGGTGATGGTTGGTGCCATGAAGAAAATAAAGCTAGAAAATGCAAAAGGGAAGGGAATGCTGGCAATTTAAATAGATTGTCAAAGAAGTCCTTTCTAAGATACTAACATCTGAGCTAAGACCTGGATGATGGACATGAGCCACCCATGTTAAGATCTTAGAGAGCATTCCAGTCTGAGAGAAGTGCACATGTAAAGGCATGAAGGGAAAAGAAAATCCTGGCATGCACATATTAATTCCTTCTTCCATTGAATGATGATGACATGCCAGGCACTGTCATAGGTGCTCTGGGAAAACACAACACATTAAAAATCCCTGCCTTTAAGGACCTTTCACTCTAACACACTGAAAAACAGTAAGAAGGCCAGAGTTGCTGGAACACAAGAAGAGGAGTATCATACTACAAGAAAACTTGGGGAAATAGGCAAGGACCAAATCCTACAAGGCTTTGAAGGCTATAGTATTAGTGTTGTTATTGTATTTTAAGTACAATTTAAAGTAATTGGTGGTTTTTAGCAAGGGTATGATGCTACTTTAAAAAAAAAAACTCTGGCTGCTGTATGTTTGAGGACGGGATAAAAAACAAAGACAAGGTGGGTAGTAAGGAATCTGTCAAGCTGTACACAAGAAATAATGGTAATCTTGACTAAAATGGGGAGTCAAATAGTGTAAATGGGGGGAGCATAGGAACAGATATATTTTGGAAGTAAAGCCACAGAACTTGTGAATGGATGAGCTAATGGGACAGAGTATAGATTTCTAGTGATGACAACAGAGTGGTAAAGTTGAGACTTGGGTGACTAAGTCTCAACTTGGGAGACTTGAGACTAAGTAATTGTTGAAGCCTTAACTGAGAAATGGCGGGATCAGTAAGAGTTCTGCCATAGTCATGTTAAGTTTCAAATATCTTTTAGAAATCCAGCTGGACATATGGGGCAATTAGAACTCAAGGAGAGATCGGGGCTACAGTATAATTTTAGAATTCATCAGACGATAAATTGTATTTACATGGGATTACATGAAGTCTAATTAGGTAAGGTCATCATGAGGATTAGATGAGGGAGACAGCATCGAGAGAACACAAGAAAGTCTAGGGTGAAGCTCATGGAAACTGCTGAATTTAGAGATGAGACACAGGAAAGAGCCAAAAAGAGACATTGAAGCCCAGTAAAACAGAACAGAAGAGGATGGTGTCTGAGAAGCCAAGGGAAGAAAGAATGTAGTAGTCAGCTGCATCTGATGTTGCTGAGGGTAAAGAAAGATAAAGACAGATAACCCGTGTCCTGGCCGGGTAGGTCAGTTGGTTGGAGCATTGTCTCAATATGCCAAGGTCACAGGTTGGATCCCTGGTCAGGGCACATACAAGAAGCAGCCAATGAATGCATAAATAAGTGGAACAACAAATCAATCAACCTCTCTCTCATCAATTTTTTTTAAAAAAAGGATAACCTGTGTATCTGGAAAAACGGAGGTGGAAGCAGCTTCAGGGGAGGGTTGGGAAACTCAGGAGTTACCGAAAGAAAGAGTGAGAGGTGAAGAATAACAGGTGTTGCCAATAGTGTAGCAGATAAGCTAGGTCAATAGAAACAACTAGAATGTTGTGGGTGCTGTTTTTAAAGACATTTTTAAAAATGCATAAGAGTGAGGAATCTAAAAGGTTGAAAAAAGTCAGTGAGTAAACATGGAAAGTTCGTCATTACAGAGGAAAGCACACTGATAAGAAAGGGAATTCTGGGAAGAAAAAAAAATATGTGGCAGCAACCGTAACAATTCTTAAATTTTTTTCAAGCAAGAATTATCAATGGCCCTGACTGGTGTGGCTCAGTTGGTTAGATGTCCTCCTGCAAAGTGACAGGTTGTTTGTTCGATTCCTGGTAAGGGCACAAGCCTACAAGCAGTACATCAAAGATGACTTCAAATCAGTCAAAGGGAAACTGAAGAACAGAGTCCAGAAATAGTAAAGCATTGATGACAGGGGCTATGGAGCAAATAGAGCACAGCCTCGATAATTTCAAAACCTGCGGGGTTCTTCTTGGCGAAAATGTGAATCCAGATCTGCTGAACTACCAGAGGATGGTGTGACCTCACATTGATTTTCTTTAAGGATGGTTTCGAAATGGGAAAATGGGAACAAATTGGGCAATTCGGATCTATCACCTGTCATCATACCTGGCCTCTGTTTTTCATCCACACACCACGACTAGGATAAATGGGACTGATGTTACCATGAACTCTACATTTATTTTAACCTCCATTTATTTGGAGCAGAGGCAGTATTTTTAAGAAAAATATGTCATGTAGGTTGTCTGAAAATAAAATGCATTTAAACTAATAAGTGACTTTCAAAAGAACTTGCCATGATGGGGTATCTGCTTTTGTTTGTGGCCCGGACTCCCAGAGATCTTAAGTCACAAAACTGGATGTGACTTTCAGTTCAAACAACTGGAGTCATGGATGTTGGAGAAAGAATTATAACGGAGGTGCTGTCCAGAAAAGCCTGGGAAGTTAGTAAGAAGAGAGAGAAGCAACATGAAAACTTTAAATCACTGGTTCTTTCTTCATGAAATACAGTCAAGGAAAAAGAAAATGTATGAAATGGAAAAGTATTTTCCATTTTCCATCAAACATTGTTACTTTAAGAAAACACACTGTGGCCCTGGCTGGGTAGCTCAGTTGGTTAGAGCATCATCCTGATATGCCAAGGTTGCAAGTCCAGTCCCCAATGGGACACACAGTGTGATTCCCGAAGAATCAACCAGTGAATGCATAAAGAAGTGGAACAACAAAAATTGATGGGTCTGTCTTTCTCTCTGTCCTCCCTCTCTCCCTTTTTCTCTCTTTCTCAAATCAATAAATTAAAAAAATTTAAGAAAAAGAAAATGCCTTTATGATATGATTCAGTTTGAAAATTTTAGACCATAAATTTCATTATGAGGGAAGCTGTGCAAGCAAGAATTGTTAATTTTTTTGGTCACAGAGAACATTTTATTAATTTGACCCCACAGGCAAGAGAAGTAAAGACAAAAATAAATGAGTGAGACTGTATCAAAATGGAAAGCTTCTGCACAGCAAAAGAAACCATCAACAGAACAAAAAGGCAACCAATCAAATGGGAGAAGACATTTGCAAACAACAGCTCTAAAAAAGGGTTAACAT